GATCATATGGTAGCTCTATTTTTAGTTTTTTCAGGAACCTCCATACTGTTCTCCATAGTGGCTATACCAATTTATATTCCCACTAACATGGTAGGAGAGTTCCCTTTTCTCCACACTCTATCCAGCATTTATTGTTTGTAGACTTTTTGATGATGGCCATTCTGACTGGTGTGAGGTGATATCCCATTGTAGCTTTGATTTGCATTTCTCATTTCTCTACTAATTAGTGATGTTGAGCATATTTTCATGTCCCTCTTGGCCATCTGTATGTCTTCTTCAGAGAAATGTCTATTTAGGTCTTCTGTCCACTTTTTGATTGGGTTGTTTCTTTTTTTTTGATATTGAGCTGCATGTGCTGTTTGTAAATTTTGGAGATTAATCCCTTCTTGGTCACAATGTTTGCAAATATTTCTCCCATTCTGTGGCTTGTCTTTTCTTTTTGCTTATGGTTTGCTTTACTGTGCAAAAGCTTTTGAGTTTAATTAGGTCCCATTTGATTCTTTTTATTTCCATTACTCCAGGAGATGCACTGAAAAAGATATTGCTACCATTTATGTCAAAGAGTGTTTTGCCTATGTTTTCCTTTAAGAGTTTTATAGTATCCAGTCTTACAGTTAGGTTTGTAGTCCATTTTGAGTTTGTTCTTGTGTATGGTGTTAGAGAATGTTTTAATTTCATTATTTTACATGTAGCTGTCTAGTTTTCCCAGTACCATTTATTGAAGAGACTGTCTTTTCTCCACTGTATAGTCATGCCCTCCTTTGTCATAGAGTAATTGACCATAGGTGCGTGGGTTTATTTCTGGGCTTTCTATTCTGTTCCATTGATCTGTATTTCTGTTTTTGTGCCAGTACTATATTGTTTTGATTACCATAGGTTAGTAGCATAGTCTGAAGTCAGGGAGCCTGATTCCTACAGCTATGTTTTTCTTTCTCAAGATTGATTTTGGGACTTCCCTGGCAGTCCAGTGGTTAAGAAAAGAATGCACACTTCCAATGCAGGGGGCATGGGTTTGATCCCTGGTGGCGGAACTAAGACCCCACATGCTGTGTGGTGTGGCCAAAAAAAAAGATTGACTTGGCTATTCAGGGTCTTTTGTGTCTCCATACAAATTAAAAAATTTTTTGTTCTAGTTCTGTGAAAAATGCCACTGGTAATTTGATAGGGATTGCAATAAATCTTCAGATTGCCTTGAGCAATATAGTTATTTTGACAATATTGATTATTCCAGTCCAAGAACGTGGAACATCTTTCCATCTGCTTGTGTCATCTTCAGTTTCTTTCAGCAGCAGCTTATAGTTTTCAGAGTGTAGGTCTTTGGCCTCCTTATGTAGGTTTATTCCTAGATATTTTATTCTTTTGATGCTATGGTAAATGGGATTGTTTCTTTAATTTCTCTTTCTGATATTTCATTGTTAGTGTATAGATATGCAACAGATTTCTGTGTATTAATTTTATATCCTGCTACTTTAGCAAATTCATTGATGAGCTCTAGTAGTTTACTGGTAGCATCTTTAGGATTTTCTATGTATAGTACCATGTCATCTGCAAAGAGAGACAGTTTTACTTCTTTTCCAATTTGGATTCCTTTTATTTCTTTTTTTCCCCTCTGATTGCTGTGGCTATGACTTCCAAATCTATGTTGAGTAAAAATGGTAAGAGTGGACATCCTTGTCCTGTTCCTGATCTTAGAGTAGATGCTTTCAGCTTTTCACTATTGAGTATGATGTTAGCTGTATGTTTGTAATATATAGCCTTTATTATATTGAGGTGTGTTCCCTCAGTGCCCACTTTCTGGAGAGTTTTTATCATAAATGGGTGTTGAATTTTGTCAAAAGCTTTCTGCATCTATTGAGATGATCATATGGTTTTTATTCTTCAATTTGTTAATGTAGTGTATCACACTGATTGACTTGAGGATACTGAAAAATCCTTGCATCCCTGGGATAAATCCCACTTGGTAGTGGTGTATGATCCTTTTAATGCATTGTTGGATTCTGTTTGCTAGTATTTTGTTGAGGAGTTTTGCGTCTATGTTCATCAGTGTATGGCCTGTAATTTTCTTTTCTTTTTTTTTTTTGTGGTATCTTTGTCTGGTTTTGGTATCAGGGCAATGGTGGCTTCATAGAATGAGTTTGAGAGTGCTCCTCCCTCTGCAGTTTTTTGGAAGAGTTGAGAAGGAAAGGTTTTAGCTCTTCTCTAAATATTTGATAGACTTGACTGTGAAGCCATCTGGTCCTGTACTTTGTTGAATTTCAATACTTGTGATCAGTCTATTCATATTTTCTATTTATTCCTAGTTTAGTCTTGGGAGACTGTACCTTTCTAAGAATGTGTCCATTTCTTCTAGGTCTTCCATTTTATTGGAATATAGTGGCTGTAGTAATCTCTTATGATACTTTGTACTTCTGTGCTGTCAGTTGTAACTTCCTATTTTTCATTTCTAGATTTATTGACTTGACCCCTCTTCCTTTTTTTTAATGAGCTTCACTAAAGGTTTATCAACTTTATCTTCTCAAAGAACCAGCTTTTAGTTTCATTGATCTTTTCTATTTTCTTCATCTCTATTTCATTTATTTCTGCTCTGATCTTTATGATTTCTTTCCTTCTGCTCATTTTGGGTTTTGTTTGTTCTTCTTTCTCTAGTTGCCTTAGGTGTAAGGTTATATTGTTTGAGATTTTCCTTGTTTCCTGAGGTAAGATTGTATTGCTATCAACTTCCCTCTTAGAACTTCTTTTGCTGTGTCCCATAGGCTTTGGGTCATTGCGCTATCATTGTCATTTGTCTCTAGGTATTTTTTTTAATTTCCTCTTTCATTTCTTCAATGATCCACATTGTTTAGCCTCCACATATCTGTCTTTTTTACAGGTTTTTTTTTTTCTTGTTAGTTGACTTCTAATCTCATAGCCTTGTGGTTGGAAAAGATGCTTGATATGTTTTCAATTTTCTTGAATTTATTGAGGCTCACTTTGGGGCCCAGCATGAGATCAATCCCAGAGAATGTTCCACAGGCATTTGAAAAGAATGTGTATTCTGCTGCTTTTGGATGGAATGCTCTAAAAATATCAATTAAGTGCATCTGGTCTAATGTGTCACTTAAAGCCTGTGTTGCCTTATTGATTTTCTGTCTGGGTGATCTTTCCACTGATAAAAGTGGGGTTATATTTGCTCTAATTTTGTTTTCCCTTTCACTGATTTTTCTTGCTTAGGCTTTATTATTTTCTCCCTTTAACTTTGACTTTATTATGATATTTTCCTAATTTTAAAGCAAAAATTTACAACATTGATTTTAAACTTTTTTCTAATAAAATGCATTAAAGCTATAAAGTTCTCTCTATGTACTGTCTGCAGTATTCCACAATTTTTGTTATAAATTATTGTCCATTTGCTTCTTTTCCATAAGTGTGAATTGTAAGTTGACTGCTGGTTATTTAGAAGGAGATGTTTATGTTTCAAATGTTTATCTACTTTCAATATACTGTTGACCCATGAATAACATGGGCTCTAGGGGAGCCAATTCCCACAAAGTCAAAAATCCACACAGAACTTAATAGTTGGCCCTCCAAATCTGTGGTATTACATTCAGGAATTCAACCAACCACAGATCTTGTAGTATGGTAGTATTATTGAAAAATATCCACATATAAGTGGACCCATGAAGTTCAAACCCTTGCTGTTCAAGGGTCAACTGTAATTTTGTTATTGATTTTTAATTCAATTGCTTTATGATCAAAGAATATTCCTCAGAGCTTACACAGAAATTAATGGACCATGCCTATGTACCACTTTTTAAATCTCAAATTTAATAATATTGTTTCATGACATAGTTCCTCTTTCAGAGCATTTAGAAAAGAGAAGTTCATAACCATGGTTGAAAATCAAAATTTCTTAAGCAGTATATAAATGTAGATTGGTTAGGTTTAAACCTAGAGATATAGTAGGGTGAGTAATTTTAATACACGCCCTCAGTTAAGAAATCACTAGACCAGGTAACTTATTAGTCAACACATCCTGAATTTTATTCAATTAATTCATTCAAAATTTTGTAGAGTGGCAAAAATGTACCAGGTTTTTTACTGGGAACAAAAATTTTAATGAAGGTACCAAGATATTTTTGTACTGCACTTTATTCTTAATATTTATATAATGTTAAAATAAGGAAATCACTCTATGAGCATGTGTGTTTTTATTTGTGTGTGTATGCGTGTGTGTGTAAGCCCCAAACTCACTCATGATCAACAATGACATTATTTCTGTAATATAATGGGATGATGTACAATAATATTTCTTTAACAGATCTTAATATGTGCCTCCATTACAAATAAATAAGAATTAGATATAAAACTCCCCTTTGTGAGAATAAACATGCTCATATAGTACTAAGACAAATTGAAATTTGTAAATAGAAACTACTTTGCAACATAGTTTTATTTCTCATATTTTCCTAGAGAAGAAAAAAAGTCAAAATCCATATCAATGCTTGTGATATACACTCACACACAACACACACACACACACACACACATGCACACATTCACAGACAGACATGCATGTCATTGAGTGATTTGGATTTGGTTAAATTCTGAGATTATTTTGAGGATCTGATCTCACCTAGGCATAGTGTTTTTAAGATGATGTCTTATAATTCTTACAATGTCTTATAGTTCAATTTTAAGAGAATTTGGAGCATAAAGTGGGGAAAAATTCAATCATGGTGTCATTAAAAAGCCCATAAATGTCCATATTTCAGATATGCATTTTGGTGACTTTTTTAAAAAAATGTTTTTATCCATCTTGTTTTAGTTATGTTGAAGTTTGTGTTAAAAACACATATTTGGTCATTTCTATTTTTCTAGGATGAAGTAATCTTACATAATAATAGAGATCTAAGAATGTAAAATATTTCTCTAGTTGGTCATGGCAAGTGTTTATGTACAGTAATGATCGTTAAATAGAGTGATTTTGTATAAATTAAAACTTTCCTCTCTTATTTTAATAGCCAAAAAATAAACTTCGGGACATGTGATAATTACATCCCAGGTAAGAAAGTTCAGTTTTTTAAAACAGGTATGATTAATTTTAGGGATAAGTGATAAACAACAGCTGTCATGGAGTATTACTAAAAATCAGCTTTTAATTTTCCTAAGCACCTTTCTCATGGGCTCAGTGCATAACTTCTAAAGATATTTTGTCTTACTATCCACAGAAGATTAAGTGAATATGTTCAGCAACATAAAGGTTGACATATTTACAGGTTAGAATTCAAACAGTTAGATAATCTTACAGTTGAAAGGCAGTGTAAAAAAATGGATAAATAACTTCTTACCTGTGTCAGGAATGTCTTCTGCTACATTGCTGATATTCTATATCGGACATATAATTGGCAAAAAAATTCATTACTTGACAAGGCCAGTCAATCTGATGGTGAAGGACTTCTTATATCAAGTAATCAATTTTCTCTCATATATTAAACTTAAATATATCTTTCATTCTGCATATTTTCTCATTGATCCTGATTCTATCTTTAGGAGACTCACAGAACAAGTCTATTTTCTCTTATATACAGCATTTTTGTACATACTTAAATAGATGAGGATATCTCTCTCACAGGTCTTATTGGTAACCTAAATATTTTTAACCATTTATATTATAGTTTCTATGTAACTCGACCCTCACAATCACAATTCTGTAGGTACTCTTTATTTATCGATTTTCTTCATTAGTATGCCACCGATGACAATGCAGTTCTGGGGTGTATGACATTTACTCTTGTAGCTTAGAATATGGTTACTAACTAAGGGGATCTTAAGTGTTAGCCTTTATATTCAGTCATATATTTACTGAATATTTTAAATAGGAACTGTGCTAAGTACTTTGGGAGCTACAGAAGTAGCTACCATAATTTTTGTTCTCAGTAGAATTGTATTCTAGCCAAAAGAGTATAAAGGAAAAATCTAGATTGGAAGAGATAGAAAGATTAAAAGGAAACAGTAAAACTGTTTTTTTCCATTTATATTACAGACTATATTAGTTTCACAATGACTATATAATTAACTACAAAACTAGTTAAAATTTTAAAAAATCAAATTTTATTTTCTCATATTAATAGTATAGAATTTCAAACATTACCAAATACATGAAGCCATAATTTGAATCATTTATTTATTAATTTACATATGATTACTTACTGCCATTTTATTTATTTATTTTTTATTTTTTCTAAACCAAACCAAATTTATTTATGAATTATTAACCTCTTGACAGTACTTGGGCAATGGGAAAGAATGGGCAAGAGAAACTTACTGCCATTTTAGGTCTGATAAAATTCTATTTATTCTGAAGTGTATGCTTAATGTTTTCTTATTTTAGTCAGTGAATTAAGTAAAAAATCATGGAATCAGCAACATTTTGCCCTGGTATTTCCCAAACCACCACGGCCAGGAACAAGAAGGAGATCAAAACCTTCCCAACTACAAGACAAAACAGTTCCTGTGAGTTTTGAAAAGATCACATACTTTTACTGGTAATAATCTTGTGAAATCATGTATAGCTATATATGTTACAGATCATCATTGACCAATGGGATTTCTGTGATGATGGAAGTATTTTATATCTTTGCATTCCAATTCCAATATGGTTACTGAACACTTGAAATGAGGCTACTGCAACTGAGCAGTTGAATTTTACATTCAATTTGATTCAGTTCACATGTGGCTTTTAAATGTCATATTGTACAGCACAGTTAAAGGTAACTCAATTCTACTACTTGGAGAAAGTAGATATATTTAATTTGCATTTCAGTATATAAAAATTACTCCCTTATTTCATATTAAATATTTGCTCAGCAATCCCACATTATAGAAAATATGTATCCAAGAAGCACAGAAATCTGGAGATCTTAAGGCTACAGTTAGTATGAACATTCAAAAAATATTCCCCAGTTGGAGAAACCCCCTCATGAGAATCATGGAGTTACATTATAAACTAAGGAAGTTTCAATGCTTTCTCATTTCCTATAATATAAAATTCCAGATTTTGAGTATTAGAAGATTAATATTTCCCAATGTTTCTGGAATCATCAAGGAATATGAAAATGTTCCAAGAAAAGTTTTCACAAAATAACATATCATGAACTCTTTTTTATTTATGGAATATATTTAATCAGTAGTAACCTAGGTTTCTTCTGTTTTCTCATCCTTTTTTCATTTTCCTTTCTTTCTTTATTAAATTTATTTTTACAGCCATTAACATTCTTTCCAAAATTTGCTATTTTTGCAATTAAGCTTTTAAAAATATTTGATTAGGAGTTGAAAACAGAATGTACCATTCTGCTCAAACTAATGTCCACTGAATGTTATAGTTTTCATTATTGCAGTTTCCTATCTGATACTCAGATTATATCTTGTCAGGCAGAGGAGTATTAGGCTTTTACTTTTAACCACAGGTAGCATTCTAAATTCCAGAGACTTTGAATGTGACAATAGAGACCAGGATATGCCTGAACGTGAAACTCTTAGATATTAGAGAATAATTAGCTTCTGAGTTAGCACAGAAATGGAAGGTGGGGAAGACATTCCAAGAAATCTCAAGAACACAGAGTAAAAAAACAAAAAACAAAAACAAAACCTAAATCTCTCATGATTGTGAAGAGAGGTTCTGATTTGTCATTAGTCAGTGAAGTTCTGGGAGAATTTTAACATAAAATCTTGAGGGAATTATGAAGATCCTCTAAATTAAAATTAGACCTTAAATGAGGCATGGCTGTCCTTTAATACAAAAAAGGAACAAAGTTGAAAAAGCATAATAAACTATGCAATCTACCATTTACCCACTATTTATCAAAATCTAAAATCTTTTCATGGTTGAAGTTAAATGTATTCAATATCTGGTAATAAAGGCTGTGTAACTCACACACAAGTTGTTCATTATTATTCTAACCAATATTTCAGAGATGTGATGAAGACAAATTAAGGGGAGCTCATAAACCACCATTATGGATGCACCGTTCTTTAATGAGAATTTCTGAGAGACCATCTGTTTATTTAGCTGCTAGGAGGCAGCCTCCACAGAAACCAGCTCGACACTCCAGGGAGGATGCTAAAGATGCAGCAAAACCTTTATCTCCATCAATAATTAAGAAAAGTAAGGAAGACAAGAAGGACAAATCAGATTCAGAAGCAGAGTCCACAGTTTCAGAGGAAAAACTTAGGAAAGGTTCAAAGAAAGAACCAGGAGCTAAAGAAGAGAAAGCAGATGCAAAGAAAGATGTCAAAATAGAGAAAAAAGGTTCAAAGAAGAGCAAGGAGTCAGTTACAGAATCTGAAGATGAAAAAGCAGGTGCAATAAAAGGTTCTGAAAAATACAAGCTAGGTTCAAAGAAGGACAACGACTCAGCTATAGAATCAGAAGGTGAAAAAGGAGATGCAAAGCAAGACTCTAAAAAAAATAAGAAAGGGTCAAAGAAGGGCAAGGAGTCTGATACAGAAACAGAAGGTGAAAAGGGAGATGCAAAGAAAGATTCAAAGAAAGATAAGAAAGGTTCAAAGAAGGGCAGGGAGTCTGCTACAGAATTAGAAGGTGAAAAAGGAGATGCAAAGAAAGATTCCAAAAAGGATAAGAAAGGTTCAAAGAAGGGCAAGGAGTCCATTACAGAACCAGAAGGTGAAAAGAAAGATGGAAAGAAGGATAAGAAAGGGAGCAAGGATTCAAAGAAACCTGGTGAGAAAGGAGATGAATCAAAGGACAAGAAAGATTCAAAGAAGAAGGAGAGTAAAAAAGATAAGAAAGATGAAAAGCCCGGTGAGGCAGACAGTGAGTCAAAAGATGCTGCCAAGAAAGAAAAGAAAGATGCCAAGAAAGATACTGACACAGAATCTGCTGAGTCAAAGAAAGATGCCAAGAAGGATTCAAAGAAAGATGCCAAGAAGGGCAAGTAGGCCTTGGATGGTAATTCAAAAGAGTATTTGATGGAACAATTTTAGTAGTCTGAAACTGAATATATGAAAAGGGGGATTCAAAGAATTAATGGAATAATTTTTTAAATGGGGGAAAGAAGAACACAAAGATGGGCTCAGAAAACCTTCATGAAAAGTATAAGAAAGACGTTAAAAGGACTTGGAGGATACTTATGCTAAATTTGGGGATATGAAGAATTCAATGAAAGATCCCTAGAAAGATTCATAAAAAATATTCAGAAGTTAATGATGTTGAATCTGTGGATACAAAGAAGAAAAAAAATCAACAAAGGCATCAACAAAATTCAAGGATGCAGATATTGAAACCATAGATTTAAACAACCTGAAATTGCACCCACAGATTTAAATAAAGAACCACAGGAGTCATGAGAGGAAGTCAAACAAATTTCATAAAGTCTACTTTCAAATAAGTACAAATACCAATTAAAGGTAGCATTCCTCAAAAGAAAAAAAAAAAGAAAAAGAGGAAAAAAATTACTGCTTTTTTGTGAGCCTCTACCATCTCTGAAGTATAAACAGCCACAACCAGGTTGATGGATTTTGAATACTCTGCTTCCAAGACAAGATAAACATACTTGGTAAGTTAGTTTTGTTTTCTTTTAAGTCAAATAAGATTAAAAACAATTAAACTGACTTAAAGGTTTGAATTGAAATTTACCATTCTTATAAAATCTCTGTAATCTGCTCACTAGATTTTTACTAGACTTTCAGCAAGTTTGGACTTTTTCATAATAAGAAATATTTAAGAATATGGAGGGAAACACCACATGAATGAAAATTTTACAAGTGTCAATGAAAAGGTTAAGGGAAGTAGAATTATTTAAGGTGAGGGAGAAGAGACTGGCTTATGATATAGAACTTTAATAATTTTAACAATTACTTAACAAAAGTTTCGTTTGATTGTTTTAACAGAAAATGGTAGCCAACTTCTCTCCATTTAAGGAAGGATGAAAATCAAAATTGTCCAAACTACAAATGTGAGTAAATTTAAATGAGACATATTGATTCTTGATAATCTGATAAATATATATACAAAACCAAATTAACCAGAATTCAACAGAATCTAGCAGAGTGAAAATACCTATATGATATTATTTTGATGTGGAAACAATTAACTTTATATCTTTATAACTATATTAAACTCTCTTTTGACCCATGAATCTTATTAATGTGAAGAAAAATAAAAAGCAATATAAAGCAAAAGGTAAAATCTTGGACCTGCCAATTAGTGCCAATTAAATATTTTCTGATTTAAATCATTCTCTCTCAGATAAACTCAGCATCGTTGCAGAACTCACCAAGTGACTTTCTCTCCCCTTTATTCTTTGCAGTGTAAACTCTAGATCCAAGTTAAAGCTTCTCCTTGATATTAAAGGAAGGGTCTCCTATTCCATATGCCCTCAAGAGCTAACTTTCTATTAATAGTGAAGTATAACTGTTTTGCCTGTTCTTTAAATATTGGCCCCTGTCCCCCATACATCAACTGCTCAAGGATTAATGGCTATTGTAATTCATGGTCTTCCAGATGGTCCTACCTTGCTGATCTGGATCAGCTGCAATGACAAAGAGAATCAAATCCTGCCCCACTGTTCTCCTCCCCCTTCCAGGAAACTCCTCATTCTCCCTCTGCTTAGAGTAAAATTCTATGTTTAGGCATTCAACCTTTTCTGAAAATGTTAGCATCACTCTGGGAATTTAGGAAATCATTTTTTTTTTCATTTTTCATTGGAGTATAGTTGATAACACAACAATGTTGTATTAGTTTAGGAAATCATTTTAAATCCCCTCTTACCTCTAAAAATGCTTTTAATTAAATCATTTTCTAACACAGTATTCAAAAGCCAAATTTTAGATTCAAATTTAATGTATAGTGAAAGAACAACTGAGTGTCTGCCTTTACTGTTCTACTGAAATGCACCAAGTTCACCAGGAACCTCCATGTAGCCAAATCCAATAGCAGTATCTTTTTACCCTGGTCCCTCTTCTCTTTTCTATCTATATATTTCCCTGAGTTATTCCATCCATCCCCATGGATTTATACAACATTCTTATGCTGCTGAATCCCACATTTAAACGTAGTATTGATTTCTCCACCCAACTCCAAATTCATATATCCAAATATTAAATTAAAGCATCTACATGACTGTCTTCCAGGCACCTCAAAATTAACATGTCCCAAATAGAACTCTTGATATCCTTCCACCAAAACCTGTGGTTCTCCAAAGTTTCACCAACTCAGTAAATGACAGTGACATCTAACCTGATGACTCAATCCAAAATTGATGGGTCATGCATAATTACTCTTTTTTCTTTACCCTGCTTATCAGTCAGTAAGTCCTTCCTGACTACCTCCAAGATAACTGAATTGGTTTACTTCACTGCATTTCTACCATTTCCACACTAGAAGTCCAATTAGCCATTATATCTCAATTGGAACCCCCCCAAACCCTACCTAAATGCAGGGGAAGCCCCCTACATCATTTCTCACCACTTTGCCACAAACCAGTCTCAACACAAAAATCATGATGTTTCTCCATTATGCTAAACTTTCTAGTGTATCAAAGTCACATTTAGCATAAATTTTCTTCTACTCTAGATTATAAAGCCTTTAATGATCTGGCTGCTGACTATTTCTCTGCCCTCATGCGGTAACAAAATTGCCTACCATGTTCTTGTCACACTGGATTTCTTTCTGTATTTAACTATATAGACCATTAAGGTTTCTAGGCTTCACACTTGTTCCCTCTGCTTATAACACAATTCTCCACGAACTTCATATTGTTGACATCTTCAAATTAACAATTTTCACCTTAAATTTTACCTTTCTGGATACTTTTTAAAAGATTTTATTTTTTAGAACAGTTTTAGGTTTACAGAAAAATTAATCAGAAGGTACAGAGATTTCGCATATATGACCTGTACCCACACATGCATAGCTTCCCCCATTGTCAACATCCGCCACCAGAGTAGTACATGTTACTACTGATGAACCTACATTTATATATCATTATCATCCAAAGCCCACAGTTTACATCAGGGTACACTCTCAGTGGTATACACTTTATGGGTTTTTAAAAAAATGCATAATGACATATATAGTAGTTTCACTATTCTAAAACTCCTCTGTGCTCTGCTGATTCATCCCACCCTTTCCCCCTACCCCTAGCAACCGCCGATCTTTTTACTGTCTCCAGAGTTTTTCCTTTTCAAGAATATCATTTTGCTGTAATAATATAGTTAGTAGCCTTTTCAGACTGGCTTCTTTCATTTAGTAATATGCATTTAAGATTCCTCCATGTCTTTTCATGGCTCATTTCTTTATAGCGTTGAAAAATATTCCATTAACTAGATGTAAGACTGTTTATTTATCCATTTACCAACTGAAAAATACATTAGTTGATTCTAAACTTTGGATATTATGAATAAAGCTACTATAAACATTCATATGTAGATATTTTCATGGAGATAAATTTTCAACCCCTTCGGGTAAATACCATGGAACACAATTGCTGCATTGTATGATAAGAATATGTTTAGTTTTGTAACAATTCTATATTATATACTTAGAAATTTGCTAAGCGGGTAGATCTGTTTTTTATCATATAAAAAATGGTAACAATATATAAAGAAGGTGGGAGGAAACTTTTGGAGGTTATGAATAGGTTTATGGCATAGATTGTGGTGATGCTTTCACAGGTGTATACTTATCTCCAAACTCATGAAGTCATCAACGTGTATACATTAAATATGTACAGCTTTTTGCATGTCAAAAAAGGTGTGTGTGTATATATATATGCATATATGTATTATATATTATATATATATACATATAGATATTACACACACACTTGCTCATAAACACACACACACACACACACAAAAGGAACCTGAAAACTGTCTTTTATAGTGGGCTGTACAATTTTGCAGTCCCACCAGCAATGAATGAGAGTTCATGCTCTACACCCTTCCCAGATTTGGCATTATCAGTGTTTTGGATTTTGGCCATTCTAATTAGTGTGGTATCTCGTTTTGATTTGCATTTCTTCCAAGACACATAGGTGGCACACACTTTCATATGCTTATTTGCAATCTGTTTATCTTCTTTGGTGATGTGTCTGTTAAGGTTTTGACTCATTTTTTAACCAGACTGTTTGTTTACTTATTGTTGATTTTTAAGAGTTCCGTGAATATTTTGGATAAGTCCTTTATCAAATACGTCTTTTTCAAATATTTTCTCCCAGTCTGTGGCTTGTCTTTTTATCCTCTAGTCAATGTTTACACAAAGCAGAATTTTTTTATTTTGTTTTAATGAAGTCTGGCTTATCAATTCTTTCATGAATTTCTTTGGTTTTGTATCTAAAAAGTTACCACCAAACCCAAGATCATTTAGATTTTCTCTCATATTACATTCTAAGACTTTCAGAGTTCTGCATTTTACATTTAGGTCTGTGATCCATTTTGATCCAAACATGTTTCTCTGCCCATCCTTTTGTCATTCACTTTCCTATCACCCAGCTGTTTCTATCCACTAACATGCTTTATTCTTCTACGTAACATACATGACCACCTGTTTTCTGTCTATATCTATCAATCAATCTATCTTATCTGTTTTCTAATCTAATTTATCTTTAATCTATTTACCTATCTCTCTAGTCAAAATCATTTATTGTGTGTTGCTTATCTCCCCAACAAGAATAAAAACTCCACCAGGGAAAGAAATTATGTGACTTATTTACTGCTGTATCTTCAGTGTAAAAAACTATCTCAGACATGTAGTATACACTCAAACCACATGTCAGGTGAATGAATATGTCAGTTTGGAGCACCTAACTGAAATGACTTACTTGGGATAGGCTTCTCCAAAATCCTAAACTGAAACATACAAGTCTTAGCAAAGTCAGACTAATTCTTCAATTGCTATTTTGCCCACAAGGACATGGCTTAATCTCATTTGATAAGAT